GGGGAGTGAGTAGTTCTTTTTCGTTATAATGCTAATAGCACATCTCCTGGAACATGTGTTCTGTTCCGTATCAGAACACTGAAAATCAGTCTGAAAATTTCTCCTAAATACAGTTTGTGGTCTGATTACTTGTGGGTTGGTAATTACTTACATGCTACAGATTCTTAGATGCTGTACAGACTCGTTGAAGGGAAAGACATTTCGAATCATCTCTTTTGTTTAACTTCTTTTGACATTTACTTAATTTCTTTGAAAATACCACGTGCGTTGACCTTTCGCTGAGAATCTGTCAGAAAGGCAAGGCGGTTTGAAATTCCTTTCCCAACTTCGGATAAATGATGAGATGTGAATTAAATAAAAATCGCTCAAATATTTTCCTTAATTTAGGGGAAGGATTAGCTGCACATAATGTAAAACTTGTAGTGTAGTATAGAGTAGGGTTTTGAATCTAAGGTCATGATGAAGACTGGAGGACAAAAAAATTGATTCTGAAATGTGTTCTGGTTTGCATTTGGTTTTCCATGGCTTGTTTTATGAGCAATTCATGTATTTCTAGGGCTACACCTATAACTTTGATAAAAAATAAGTACAATTTACATTTCAGAGCCAGTGTGGTGACTTCTTGAAATTTAACAGTAACAACTCTAGACCAGTGTTTGCCTGTTCGGGATAAGGTTTTATGGGTTCGGCATTATTACCCCATCTTCCTGGGGCGGAAGTGGAGGTTTAGGGAGGTTAAGGATCTTGGTCAAGGTCGTCCATTCTTTTAGCATGCATTTATTCAACACTTACCTTATGCCATCCACGGTCTAGGTCCACGGGACTCGGGCGTGAGTGAGACAGGCTGCTCAGCTCATGGAGCTTGCTGTCTCGTGTCGTAAAAATTTCACGTAGTTTCAGCTATGGAAGTAAAAGTAGAATGGTGTAAGATATGCCGCCACGTTAGGCAGGTTAGTGTGGAAAGGCCTCTGAGCAGAGGACACTTCTCAAAATGAAGTCAGAGGTCACATGGTGTCAGAGGCAGACTTCTACCGCAAGTCTGTCTGATCCCAAATTATACTAGTGTTGCTTTGTGATGCTTACGGGAAATCTCTACTTCTGTAAACAATAAGTATCTGAAAATGAGAGAGCCAAAAAAATATAGTAAGTGTCAAATCAGATTTCTGCAGGCCACCCCTCCGGGCAGCCTCCCAAGGGATGTTGGAATCTTTGTAGGGCCCCAGGCATCACGGGACAGGAAGCCGAGGTGTCCGTTGCTACATAACAAATCACCCCGAAACTTTGTGGCCTAAAACAACAATCGTGTGTTGTTTCTCATGATGCCTGTAGGTCGGGAGTTTAGACAGCGTAGTGGAGGTTTGTCTCTGTCCCCGTCTAGGCCAGTGTCTGCAGGAATTTTGTCATTGTGCTGTGGGGGCTGCTGCTGGGATCGAGGGCGGGTGCCAGGGGCACTGCTGAACACCCTGCAGTGCGCAGGTGACCCCGCCCACATGACAGAGAGTGACCTGGCCCAGAGCGTCACTCGCGCTGAGGTTGAGAAACCCTGGCCTAGGGCCTCTGTCTGCAAACTAGAGCCGGAGTCATCTGGACCCTTGTTCAGTCACATGTTCATCAGCCAGAACACCCACACATGACCTGGGCTTCCTCATAATGTGGCGCTGGCTGCCACGGGCCAGAGTCTAGAGCACAAGCACACATGCGAGTCGGCGGGGGTCATGTTGCCTCCTACAACCTAGCCTGTCGCTTTTTTATGTTCTCTTGGTCGAGAAAGTCACAGAGTCCCACCTGGATTTAAGGGAACGGAAATAGAGTCCACATCTTTGTGGGAAGTGGCTGGTTTCTGGATGATCGTGCTGGACTGGAAATACTGTTGTGGCTAATTTGGAAAATAGAATGTAACACACTGTCAGTTGCTGTCCCTTCCCACTGCAGCTCAGGGAGCCGACCCACCTGGGCGGCACACTCCCTTCTGTAGGACCGCGTTAGCACGTTCGCGTATTGCTGCTGTTCTGTTTGTCCTCTGTGGAAAGAAGGGACAGTACAAGAAGAGTGGCAGCAAGCAGGAGTGAGACGGGAGAGGCGCAGTGGCCTTGGCCCCGCTCACGGGTGGGTCTAGTTGGCGAGGGAGCCCTCCGATTTGAGAGAGGACTCCGCCCTCGTCTGCCCAGCATCACGGTGATGGTGGCGAGTTTTGAAAAGCAGAATTCAGTCTACAGAGCAGGTTTATCGTGCGCTAAAGTGGGAGTCAGATGGGACCCCAGTGCCTGGAGGCCCAGGACTGTCTGTCGAGCACGCCCTTGTCGATTCTGCTTCAGCCGTAGTTGTCTTTCGAACTCAAGTGTACGGTTCACAGTGGGTGGTTTACTAGACATTTTGGCTTAAATCTCAAGATTTTATTGTAAGAGTATGTATTAACATTTAACATGCTTTTGTATTGATTCTGTTTCTTTTTCTACAAAATAATCTGTCTCAGAAAGACAAATTTATATTTCACTGTTGTGTTTCAGATTTTGCAAAGCATGTTGATTTTCTAGAAGCCATAAGCAGTGCCTTGAGGGCCCTTTTGCAAACAATGGCCTCCGAAAACATTTCTCAGGTAAGTTAAAATTTTTCATGTGAAACTGACAGTCTGTACTGTGAAGGCAAGATTCATTACTTAACTGTTAAAAAAATAGTTATGAGTGAAATCTATGAATTGCTCTAATAACTCCAGGAAGGGTGTAGAGCCTTAATTAGTCTCAGGATCAGATATTTTTGGCAGGAATAATTCAGAGTGCTGTGTGTTTTCTACTTTTATATCATAAGTCATGTGATGCTAAGTAACATCTCCCCGCCCACTGCCACGGGCACACACTCAGATTTTTTTTCATTGATGTAACTTTTTATTTGACATAGACGTTGTAAATATTTTCTGTGAGTGTCATTTGTCTTTTTAAAAAACACTTTATTACAGAAATCTGCAAGCATGCCCTCCTGGTTCTCATAGTGACGCATCTGCACCTCGGTATAGGTGTCCTGCCGCTTTCATTTTTCACTTTTCATTCAGGAAGCGTTCAGACATTCCTGAAAGCAAAGGAGCGGGACCTCGCTATAAGTAAAGACCACGGGGCGGCGCCGCGTGCCAGCGCCGGGCGTCAGCACCTTCTCCCCATCCTGTCCATGCTTTGTTGATCTCCCTCACATTTTCGCTTTTACTTCCTGCAGTAGTTTAAAGCAGATCATATGTTTTTCCCATAAATATTTTATTATGTACTTCATTTTGTCTGAGACAGGAAACAAACTTTAAAATACCATTGCCCAAAACCCCAGATTAACAGATATTTCTGAGTTATCATTTGATGTAGAGTCTGAGTTTAGTTTTCCCTGATCGCTTTAAAAATGTCTTTTTCAAATGGTTTGTTCAAATCAGAATCTAAGCCAGAGCCACGCGTTGCTGTTGGTTGATGTTATTTTCTTAACGGCTTGATTGAGATTTAATTCACATACCACATAATTCACCCACTTAAAATGTGCAATTCAGTGGTTTTTAATATATTCCCAGGTTCTTCAATCTGTTCATCTGTAACGTTCCCCAACCCACCCCCTTTGCCATACTGTGTATTCATTGAAGAAGCTGTGATTTGTCCTGTACAGTTTTCCCCATTCTCACACTTGGCTGGTTTGTCACAGTGGCGTTGTTTAACGTGTCCCTCTGTCTCTCATATTTCTATAAACTGGCGAAGTTTATAGGAAATAGTTATGAGTGAAATCTATGATTTGCTTTAATAACTCCAGGAAGGGTGTAGAGCCTTAAGTAGTCTCAGGATCAGATTTTTTTGGCAGGAATAATTCAGAGTGCTGTATGTTTTCTACTTTTATATCATAAGTCATGTGATGCTATAACATAGCGATATTAAGATTGATCAGTGCATTCTCTCCGTGGTTGTAGCAACCAGTGGTTCTTGTTGTCCAGACCCACTTTATTAGGAGCTGCAGAAGGGGGATAGCCTAAGTTTTTCATTTCTTTGACATTCTAGCCATGATTTTTTACAAATAAGAACTTTCGGTCTCATGAATTATTTGGTAATTTTGAAATAAAGTTCGTACCAAAAAAGATAGGAGTGTGTGATTCACCATTCACCACCCTCTTTTTTCCAGAGTGATGATTGCTGCCCTAGCAGTCTTGAAAAGTGACCAGGGAAGTTTTTTTTTTTAAGTATAATTATGAACTCGTGGGTTTTTATATGTTTATTTCATTCCATTATAGTCATTGTTTTTGATGCAAAAATTGCATTATTTTTAGATAGTAGGAGTCTCCTCAAGTTGGTGCCTGTTTCTCTTTTACATGAAGAGTATAGTTTCTGAAAGCTTTTTACATAGCTTTTGATTATAGAATTGTATCTTTTTTGTGCTGGAAACTTTGCTTCTTAGAGACATTAAAACGATCATTTGCTCATACTCCAGGTGGTACTTAACAGTTTCAAAATAAAATGCCGTTATTATTCCTAGCCGCACCGCTGAGTGCAGCTTACGATTTCATTGTGATTCTTCCTGTCCGTAGGAGACATCCCTCCAGGACTGCAGTCAGGTGGCTGTTTTAAAGTTGCTTAGAAGAATTCTCCTTGTGGCTTGTTATAAAGTTGTTTCAGCTTTTTCTTTTTTTTGGAAGAGTTTTTTTTGTTTGCTTTAAGTTTTTAAGTTATACAAAATATACAGTTTTAGAGCTAAAACTGAAATGATATGTTCAGAGAAAGACATGGTATATACATACAATGGAATATTATTCAGCTTTAAAAAGGAATGAAATTTCTCATACGTAATACGATGTGGTGAAGCGGGAAGACATCGCGCCAGGTGACATGAACCAGACACAGGAGGACAACTTGTACGATTCCACTTAGGCACCTGGAAGGGACAGAAAGTAGAACAGTGGTCAGCAGGGGCTGGGGGAAGGGGGAGGAGGGAGTCACTGTGCGGCGGGGACAGTCCGAGGTGACTGAAGAGTTCTGGAGGTGGAGGGTAGTGGTGCCTCACAGCAGTGCGAAGGTGCTTGTGCCACCGAACCACGGTTTAGTTTAGCTGGTGACTTGTGTGTGCCGTGAACTGCCCCACCCAAAAAAGCTGTGCTCAGAGGGGTCTGGCTTCGTCCCTTTGCCCTCGTCTTTCCTTTCCACTGTCGATAATCGTCCTTTTCAGTTTTTGACTTTTTGTTGTTTTTTGAAAACAGCAAATACGTATACGTTTACGTTTCACCCCTTAAAGGGAGCGCGTCCGCACCCTGCTCCCTTCTCCCTCGTGGGTCGTCGTGGTGCACAGTTAGCTTCTTGTTTCTTTTTTACAGCTTCACATCACTCCGTTGCGTAGCTGCCCGTGTTTATTCAGCCTGCCTGTTATGTCGGATACTGAGTAGTTTCCAGCCTTTTGCTGTTAGAAATAGAACCGCAGTGAACAGCTCTCCTGCAGGTGTTGTTTTGTTTTTTGCCTTTGTGCCTTTGGGAGGGGTTCCTCGCAGCGCACTACTGAGTCAGAGTAGATGGATGTGTCGTTCTTCTGGGTGCTGAGCCATCTCGACTCCCCACCAGTAGTGTCTAACAGTAGTGTTTGCCGGTTTGATAGCTGGGAAATTGCATCTCATTTTTCATTTGCATTTCTCTCACTTCCGGGAGGTCAGCATCTTTGTGTGTTCGAAGAGCCTTTGCATTTCTCTTGCTGTGACTGTCCCTATCTTTTGCCAGTTTGGGTCTTTTCCTTGTTTGTATATGAGAGCAAATCGAGTGAGGCACAAACTTGTGGGCCGGGGGAGCCCAGTGGTCTGCGTGTTACCAGGTTCTCCAGAAGGTTCTCAGGCACACTGGGGTTCGGGAATCACTGTGCCAAACTGTCCTCGCTGCTCCCCTTTCAAAACCCTCATTCCGATCAGCATGTCGTTAGCCCGTACCGTCCATCTCTTTTGGTTCCGTGAGGTCCCGCTGTCGGGCTCCACCCTTCTCCAGCCCTGTCGGGGTCCCCGCGAGTCCACACTCCACGTAGGTGCCCCGTCCGGTAGCCTGGCTCCGGGGCACATGGCCGCATCTTCTCCCATGGGCGCTCGTGGCCACCTCTCTGTGGCACGCGTCCCACACTTTGTCTCGCTCCAGAGCTTAATGGGACTGTCTGGTGTTCTGCTGTTTAATATAGTGCATGCTTTGGGCTTCTAATGTGTTCTTTAAAAGAGAAATCTAGGGTGGCTCCATAGCGTAGCGGTCAGCACGTCTGCTTTGCACGTAGAAGGTCCTGGGTTCGCACCCCAGGTGGAGCTACGGACCATAGCCTGGGTGCGCCAGGTTCCGGGTGAGCCAGGTCCCCTGAGTTTGCCAGGCCTTGGGTGCATGTCGCGAGCGTGTGGGAGGAGACGCTCCGCCTTCAGAAATCCAGTTCTTAAGGGGAGACGGCAACATCCGTAGGTCAGGGGTAGAAGTTGGGGTGGAGGGGCGGGATTAAAGAGGGGAATAAAAAAAATTAATAAATAAATAAAAAAGAAATCTATGTTTGAGGGTTTTTTTCAAGAACATAACTTTTGACTCTCGATTTCTGTGGGAACGGTGGCGCTGCCTGGCCCGTGGGTGGCTATCGAGAGGATCAGAAAACCCCGCCCCGTGGGGCCCGTAGGGACGTGCAGTATTTTCACTGATTTTCCACGATGTTCAGGCGGGAATTTGCGGGGTCAGTCGGAGTTCGAAAGCAATCACTCCAAGCCGAGGCTCGGTTAACGGTGAACTATCCGCGTAGCCCGAGACCATCAGTGCCCAGGTCGGCTGTGTGTTGGCGGGAGCGTCGGATGTCACGGCCAGGGGGACAGCACCAGGTTGGCGTCCAGCAGCCCTGCTTCCCTGTCTTGTGCTTCCCTCGCGGGTCTGTTCACGTCGCCAGCTTACGTCCGGGGCCGAACCCGTAACGGTGCAGCTCACCCTCTTCACACCGGCCTCGTCCTGGCCATGAGGGATCCCTAGTTTGTGAAACTTCCTTTCGGTAGAGTGTTTTCTGGAAAACCTGGGCGTATGTGCTGTTGTTACCTTTAGAGCTGGCGGGAGCAGGGCAGGTGATTCAGAAGTTAGTGTGACGGGTTAGAGCTGCTCAGCGTTTCTGTGTATGACGATCACTCGCATTTAGTGAGTGCTTTGTATGCGGTATTTAGCACCGCTGGGAGGTGACTTTTGTCCCTAGTTACTGCCGGGGAGGTAGAAGATTTAGTGGGGCGGAGTGAGTGTGGGGCAGTAAATAGCGGAGCTGGGACTTGAACCCAGGATGTCCCAGGCCCCTCGTCACCACACTGCCCTGCTTCTCGGGCAGCAGGGCGCTCCGCTGTCACTGCGCCCGCACGTGTCCTCATTAGCTTGAGGCGGAAAGCATCGCCGTGTGGACGAACCACTGTGGAGCTGAATGATTTACCATCACACACATATCTCAGAGTCAGTTTCTACCTTGTATGTAGTCAGCCAACTTTTATTAAAGCTACATGGTCCTATTTACATTTTGAAAACGTTTTTTATGATCAGCGTTAAAAAGAAATTAGAATCTCTTTAGTCTGTACCTCTGAATGAAAGTCTCATTCAGATGCAGCTAATAGGAACTGAAGCCCCTTTGACAGGCTCATGGCTCCGAGAGGTTGAATAATGACAGGGACATGAACAGGCCTCCTCTTAGTTCTGAATGAGCAGCTGCATTTGGGACTGATTAGGAAATGTGGTAACTTCTGTGCTGAGAACCGTCGCTCTTAGAGCCGAGCAGCCCGCAGAAGCGGTTCCTGTCCCCTGTCACGGGTGGTCAGTCCCTTGTCGCGGTGGTCAGTCCCGGGTCACAGTGGTCAGTCCTGGGTCGTGGTGGTCCCACATTGTCCCCTGGAAATATTGTCGCCTTCCCTTTCAGCAGTGTGTGACTCCCGATGTGTCGCGGTGGTCAGTCCCGGGTTGCAGGTGGTCAGTCCCGGGTTGCGGTGGTCAGTCCCGGGTCGCAGTGGTCAGTCCCGTGTCGTGGGTGGTCAGTCCCGTGTCACGGTTGGTCAGTCCCGTGTCACGGTGGTCAGTCCCGGGTCACAGTGGTCCCACATTCTCCCCTGGAAATACTGTCGCCTTCCCTTTCAGCAGTGTGTGACTCCCGATCAGCTGATGACACTGTGTGAAGCAGGCATCCTGAGCAGCAGCGTCGGGGTCAGAGTGAATGTGGTCAGTATCTTGGGGATCACTGGCAGCGTCCTAGCCAGAGAAGATGGCACGCTTGAAACTCTTAAGGTAAAGCAGCCTGCTTCCGACCTGACATGCTAACTAACTGGGAGTGGGGAGCCTGACTGTCGAGGTTGGGGTTTCTGAAACCTCCATGGATAGCGAGAAGAAATCGTTAAGAGGTTGGTTACTGAGCTATCCTCGTAAAATACGCCCTTTGGCTTGATCTGACTACACGAATTGGATAGAGACTGGAAAAGCTGAGTCGCATTTGGTCATTTAATTTTACTCCAGAGATCCTTTTTCCCAAATAAACTCGTCTTCAGTGAGAGGCCAGGTTCAGAACTGTTAAAACCTGCCTCTGCCGTGGCACGACACACCTGTGCGTCATCTCGTCCTGCTGCTGCCGGAGCCTCCAGCCACCTTCGTCCCACACCGGGCTGGCAGGTTCTGCAGAACCGCACAGTTTGTGCTGACACCACGGTGCGACTCACCGGGAACTCGGCACGGCGCTTCCGGATAATGTTTCTGTGCATTTCCACATGAGGAAAGCCTTTCTGAGGGACGTAGAAGGGAAAATGGATAATTTTCTAAATCTTTAACATTTTGGATCTTATTTTATTTAAGTTTATAAATTCGAATACATTTCTTTTATCTTGCTTACATTATACTTGGTATATTATAAGCATATGTTAAGTTTAAATTTTAGACTTTTAAAAGTTTTAATTTTTTTCCCTGGCATTTTTATATAAAACATTATGCATAAATTACTGCCACCTTTAAAGCCGGTCCTTTGAAAACCGACCTTAGAACCATGGCTGATGACAGTGTTTTGTCGACTCCAGACCATTGGGTGCTTTCTGCTTGAGGTCGCCACGAGAGACCCGTCCCTCGTCGTGGCGGGAGAAGCTCTGGACGCCCTCTTCGATGTGTTCGCGGATGGCAGGGAAGCCGAAAGGGCCTCCGTGCAGATCAAGCTGTTGCCTGCTCTGAAAGAGTTCCAGCCCGTCTTCAAGGCGAAGGTGCGTGGTCGTCCGCTCAGGACTGCTCGAGTCCCGGGCCCTCCTGGCGCGTGGCGCACCTCGTGCCCATTCTGCTCCAGCTCTGGCACCTTTCTGTTCACTCACATCACTGGAGCCCAAGCGGTGCCTGGCGCATCCCTCTGTCTTTCGGTTCGGTGATGCCAACGGCACTGCTTACGTGCCAGCCCCACGTCTGCAGCCTGCAAAGCACTTTCACGTGTTAACTTTATTTTATATCATGTAATAGGTCATAGGTTGATTTCGTTGTCAGGAATATTTCCCTTTGGTGCTCCGATAAAAAGGCACACTCCTGGCTGGTCTGGATCGGAGAATATTTGGAGAACGTAGCCACTTTCATTAGCTGCTTGCTTATTTTGTTGTTTCATCAGAAGCATCGAAGCTAACTTTGAGTCAAAAAATAATTTTCAAAACCTGTTCTGGTGGGGGGGGTTGGAGAGAACAACCAGAAATTTCTCATGAGACTCACATATCTATGCATTTAAGTTCACCATTCTTCTCTTATCTAGATCTCAGTTATTAAATTATTCCGAGAAATAAAAATAGTTGTATTTTTTGCTCTTGGATTTTAAATCCGGCATTCGCTTTTAAAAGCTTTTGATGAAAAATTAGCCTGCTTTTTGTTTTACAATCTTTATAACAAGCTTCTAACAGAATTCAGGTCTCATGGTGAGAACTCTGATAAGTTTGAGGCGAATATGATTGAGTATCTAGACATTTAAATTTTCTGAAATTTTTTTAAGGCATTAAAAAGGTTGCATCATATATTATAGTCCCACACGTGTTTTTACTTAACCCCATCTCCTAGCGATACCTCCATCCCAGTACGGGGTGAGGGTCCCCATTGTTAGAGGTTACAGGCCATTCTGAAAAGGGTCTTCGAGGTAAGGAAAAAATATCCCCAATTTCTTTTCGAGGAAAGCAGACGTAGTCACGGCATCGACCTAGAGAGTGGCCCCGACCTCTGGGACGTGTGTCGTTCTGATTGATTTTCCTCCTTGAATGCACAGCTGTGGTAATGATATGTAATTGTGTTTTCTTTTCTCAAAGATGACAAATCTGTAATGAACAAGTTCTTCGTTAGCCAAGAGGGCAGCCTATAGGTGTCTATTTGAAGCTCCTTTGTGAACGGAGCCACATTGCAATAAAGGGCGCTGTTCGGTGTACATTTAGCCCCCGATTGCACTTGAAAACCAGACAGCACATTTTACTCAAGGTCTTCTCCTGAGCAGTGGTTCTCAAAGTGCCGTGGGCCAGCAGCAGCAGCAGCAGCACCTAGTCACCTGTTGTTACAAAGATAGACACTCAGGCCCACCTCCACACATGCTAAAAACCGGATGGGCCACCAGTCTGTTTTTTAACAAGCCATCCCGATGGCACTGTGGCATGCTAAGATCTTGAGAGCCACTGCTCTAGACTACAGGTGAAGTATAGTTCACACACCATAAAATTCACTTTTCTGAACTCTCCAGTTTAGTCTTTGTTGCAGTTGTCATTTAAAAGGGGCAAAAACAGTACTTGACATAAGGGACTGATGTCCGTAATACATGAAGAACTCATGCAACTCAACAACATCAACAGATTTGATTAAGAAATGGGAGAGGACCTGAACAGACACTTCCCAAGAAGACATATAGATAGCCAGCAGATGTATGAAAAGACACTCAGCCTCACTAGCTATAAGGGAAATGCAAATCAAAGCCCCAGTGAGATACCACCTCACAGCTGTTGGAATCGCTGTCATCAACAAGACAATAACAATACAGTAAGGAACCTTCATGCGCTGCTGGTGGGAGTGGAAATTGGGGCAATGTGGAGGGTCCTCAAAATTTTAAGCATAGAGCTACCGACATGACCCACTTCCAATAAGTGTTTTTTGGAAACACTTATTTGTAAAGATACGTGTAGCCTTATGTTCACCGCAGCAGTATTCACGATGACTGGGACATGGAAACAACCTAAGTGTCTTTCAGCAAATGACTGGATACAGCTGTGATAACATATATACAAGGGACTGATGTTATTCAGGAATAAACGATGAGATGTTGCCATTCGGGACAGTGGGTGGACCTGGAGGGCATCGTCCTAGGTGAAATAAGTCAGATGGAAAAGGCCAAGAACCACAGGCGATTTCACTCAAGTGCGACATAAAACAAAACAAATGAACAAACAAACTCACAGATACAGACACCAGAATGGTGGTTACCAGAGAGGACGGGGGTGGGCGGAGGATGAAGAGGGTAAAGGGGGTCAAATATCTGGTAGACTAGACTAGACTTTAGGTGGTGAGCACACACTGCAATATACAGGTGACATACTATAAATCGTACACTTGAAACATATACTTATTAACCATTGTTACCCCCAGTGAATTGAATTTAATTAAAATGAAAAGTACACAATCTTAATTTATCTTTATGGCTCACGTACTGTTTATCCTGTTTACCTTGGAAGTGAAAGTGTTTCACCAAGTTCTGGCAGCCATTTTGTTCTGAAAATAAATACACCCAAGATTAAATGTTTACTTTATTTAAAAGAATTAGTGGTTTATACCAAATCACATATGATTTTTTTTTTTTGGCAGATACGAAAAGAAGGAAAGGGTAAATACAGTCCAGATCAGCTGTGTGTTCTTGACAATGTGAAGACGAATTTAAGAAGGTTTGTTGCTTATCAAGAAACTGTTGAAAAAAGACTGACTACTTGAACCATTGAAAGAGAGAGTGATTCTCGCCCCAGAGTGTTCAACATGAAGCAGTCTTTGTATGTTTCCAAAAGTCATTTTCTAATGTCTGTGTTCTGTATATTAATTTGAAGTTCCTAAGAACTTCAGAACCTATTCCAAAATTTTTTAAGCTCTGGGATCCGCGTGGCATTCCCAGTGCTCTGAATCAGGTTCCCATCACTGGAAGCACGAAGAGCAGACACAAAGCAGTCTCAGGCGGGTCTTCGTGAGCAGTGAAGAGGCTTCCAAACAATTGCGGTTTGCTCGAATTTCACAAAAAAAAGGAAAAATCCAAAGCGTGGCTTAGATGCCCTTATAAGCCAATATCATTTTATATTAGCTCAATTTTTAGAAGAAATATGAAGACAAGCTTTATAAAGTTTTTTGGTATGAAGTACACCAATTGTGTTTACCTTTGTGAAGAAGCGAACGCGTTGAATTTGTATTCCGCTCTTTAGTAGAATGTACTGAGTGAGCTAGTGCGATCACCATCATCTGTGCAAACAGATCTCACTAATTATTGCTCTGTAACAGCCTCACTCCTTGTTTAATTTGATACGGAATAAGAATTAGAAAATATTTTTAAATAAATAACTTGTAAATTGAAAGCTTTGTGTCTTCACAAAATCTTTTTAAAAAGATAACCGTATTTACTCCTGGGTGTTTGCGTGCTAGTGGGTACTGCTTTGAATATATGCGAGATGTTAGGGACTCGCAGCAGGAGCCTCTAGCATTACTCTCAATATCCTAGAGACTTTGAAAACTAAAACATTGTTGAGAGAAATTAAAGAAAACGTAAACGAATGGAGAGATATACCATGTTCATGGACTAGAAGGTGACATTTCTCCCCAAATCAATCTATAGAGTCAAGGCAATCTCAATCAAAATCCCGTCAGGCCTTTCTATGGAAATTGACCAGCTAATTCTAAAATTATGTGGAAAAGCAAAGGACTTATCTAAAATAACTTTTAAAAAGAACAAAGTTGGAGGACTTACGCTGCCTGACCAAAAGCTTACTATAAAATTATAGGAATCAGGACAGTATGGTCTTGGCATAAGGAAAGACATGGAGATCAGTGGACCAAGATGGAGAGTCCAGAAATAGACCCATAATTAAATGGTCAGTTGATCTCTCACTGAGATGTCAAGTTTAATTCAACGAAGAAATAAGTCTTTTTAATAAATGATGCTAGAATAACATATCTACTTGAGAAAAGACCATATATTCAAGAGTCAGGGTTGAATAAAATTCAAGGTTTTTACTAATTCATCAAGTATATTCCTAAGCACAGCTGACTTTTTTCCCCTATAAGTGCATGATGGGGAAGCATACACGACTGTTGGTACAGTTCGGTGCCAAAGCCTTGGTTCGTCCTGGGCACCAGCACCTCTACCCACCATCGCTTTCGTGCCTGCAGTTGCCAGTGTGGCAGGTAACATTTCAGACTAAAAAAAAAATTTGCCGCAAAAATAGTTTTGACCTTGTGGACCCCCTAAAAGGATCTATGGAACACAACTTTGAGAATGATTAGTCCAGAAAGAAAAAGGAAGAAGGACTGAAAGCGAGCCTTGAAGAAATCTAGGACTGAGAGGTCTGCTTGGAGGAGGAAGCTGAAGGAAACCCCAGAAAGAACAACCCAAGAGGAGGGAGCAGAGGGCGCAGAGTCGGGGAGGCCGAGGGGCCAAGAGCGGGGAATGCGCTTAGGGGCCGATAAGAGGAGAGCTGAGAAATGTCCACCGGCTTAGTGACGGGGATGTCCCCAGTGACATTAGCAAGAGCTAGTTCCCTGGAGTGATCAGATCAGAAGTCAGATTGGAGGGAGTCTGGGGAAACAGACTAGTCTTGGGAGGGCAGAAAAGAGACGAGACAGGAGCTGAAGGAAGGCGTGGCAATTGTTAATTTACTGTAAGTGGATAAACGAATAAATTGGAGGCTTCAGATACAGAGGAGAGAGCAGGGGGAAATTCCAAACAAACTTGGTTTCTAGCTTACGGATTCTTTGTTGAGATGGGAAGCGAGACCCAAGTTGGATGGAGGATGCCTTTAGTTCTACTTGAGGCGAGCGTTTAACCTAGAAAATAATTCCCTTTTTAAGGAAGTTGTTCTACCCTCGCCCTGCGCCCGCTAAGCCCTGCTTACTGCTGCCGTTGGTGACAAACACTGAGAGTTTCAAGGTCTTAGTTAATGTTTTTATCTTGTCCCTTCTTTGAGTTAAAAATACACCTTGGTTTTACTATTTAACCAAAAAAAAAAGTGACACTTTTATGTAGTGGAAGATCCTCATTTTGCCGTTCGAGAAATTTATCTTTAATCGAAACTAAGTTGGTCCACTTAATTGAGAAATTCCTTATTTTAATGAGCAGAGTTAACTTGAGTTTTTTTTTTTTTCTATGCAGAGTGAGAAATTATAAGCAAGTGGTTTCCAGTATTTGCTTAAATCTGTTTTTATCCTACCTAATCTTACATGGGAATCCTAATTATGAGAACACAGTTGCCCTAAAATTTCAACATTTTCGGCAATGTATGCCTGTCCATGAAAAGGACAAATTCTTTTCGAATAAAGGAACTACTGCCTTCAAGTACTTACAGTTAGTATGAGTGAAGCCAGGAAAATCACTTTCCTACTCTGATTTCGTAGGGACCAATTTCCTGAGTCTATTTAACAAAGACACTTAAATTCATTTAAGTAAAATAGAAAGAAATGAATTGGGTTTTTGTGTGTGTGTGTGTGATAAATGTTATTGAATTAAAGGAATAATGGATTTTCTTTTAGGGCCAGACAGTGGAAAAGGCAAAGAACACGAAGCTGAAATGATTCCACAAAGCTGTCTGAAATAGTCGCCTGCCTTTTTCCTTTTTTGTTTCAAAGATTAGTGTGCAAAATCAGGAAATGTTTGAAATCATTACAGGCTTTAAAACGTTATACACTCTAATGAAATTATTATGCAGTTGTTTTCGTTAAAATTTACACATGAATTCTAGGGCATTTCACAATTTGATAAAATAACCTGATAAATGACCAAAAGTAAATAAAAGCTATATGAAAGATATGGAAGTCTTCACCTTTGGCCTTTCATCTTGAATTATAAGGTAATACAAGTTTTGAAAAATTCAGAAGGTGACATTTTCCCTCGTTCTGTTGAAAAAAGTTATATTGCCTTTCTGTCTTTAAAGTTACATTTAATAAGACAGTTAATACATGTGCATGGTGAACAATTAAAACAGTGCCAGAAAGTAGGCCTTAAAAAGTTTTCTGTCTTCCAGTCCCTCTCCCCGGAAGTCCCCATACCAGTTCGCATGTACCTTTCTGGAAATGCTCGTTGCCCAGTAAGGCACGTGTGTGTGTCCCCTTGCGTTTAGTATACAAATGGCAGGGTGCTCCGTATCAGTACATGTAGAAATGGCCCCCTTTCTTTTCGGCAGCTCCACAGAATCCCCCCGATGGAACTGTCATTTAGTTAGTGCCCCCTCAGGGAGGGAGGCAGCTTCCCCGCCAAGAGCTCAGACTCGAGCCAGATCATCTGGGTTCAAGTTCCGACTCTACCGTTTCCTCCCTGTGTTCACTTGGACAAATGGAATAATGACATTAGCCGCTTAATAGGTGCGTTGAGGGTTAAACGAGTTAATATTTGTACAACCCAGAACAGTGCCTAACATACTCACGCTACACACGTTTCTCACGAAATAGCCATCCTTCTAGATTGTGTCCAGCTCTTTGCTGCTGCGGACAGCGCTCGTGTGAATATCTATGCACAAAACCCGAGAACTTGACTTACTAAAGGATAAGAAAAAAAAGTATATATTTATATATATACGTGTAATATATGTCACAACGTCCCTTTATCAGAGAGCCTTCCCACACCCCTCCTCCAGCACGGCGAACCCTTTTTCGACTACCCCCTTACGCTGCTGTATTCTCCTTTAGTACCCATCGCCATTTGACCTATACATTGATTTAGAACATTATATTTTTAATTCCCTAAATTGGCCTAGATTTCTTCTCTTTACATTTGGAAAGTGACATAAGAACCAGAAACCTGAGCTCGCTCCTGTGTTCTAGACTTTTTCATTGCTTTAGAAAGAGCCGGGTATCTGGAAGCAGCTTGTTATGTAGTTCTCACCACCCTATTTCCTGCCAGTGCTGGGGGTGAAGAAGGGACTGTCCCCCCGCCCCCCGCCTTCCAGGGGCCTTGCAGAATCCCTGCCTGTGCGTCTCCGTGATATGTGGAATGACGTGGGCAGCCAAATCAATCCTGGAGGAAACAGAAGAGGCAATTAATCCTACTTAGAAGTTTCAGGAAGAGAGAAGGCAGATGCCAACCTGCATATCTACCCTCATTTCTACTACTTTGGTGCGCATCAACCTGACTTCTTTCTGCCCATTCCACATTTTTTTTTTTTTGCCCGAAGCCTTTCTTTGGCCCTGAGATCTTCCTTTGCCCCAGCATGACAGGCCAGAAGTATAAATAATGAATGAAACACCCTGTCCTCCAATCTCTCAGTGACTGACTGGAGGAAATGTGCAAATATCTAGCACTGTCGCCCCTAGCGAGGCTATCTCTGGGGTCCCTGCCTTCTCCTGAAGCAGGATTAAGCTTCAGTTTCTCATGGTGGTTGGTAGCCCTGCTTGAAAACAAGCCCTTTATTACCACCCTCCCTTCCCCATCTGACCTCCCCTCTCCCCACTGACATTTCCTGGGATCGCCTCCCACACAAACTGCTTACACTTGAAACCATGGCCGTGTCTGCTTCTGGGGAACCCAAAGTGACACAAGACATTTAAGTTGTGTTTTAGGGGGGAAATTGTGTGTGTGTGTGTGTGTGTGTGTGTGTGTGTGTGTGTGTAAGATTTGTAAGTTCGTAAATTTACATTCTGGGTGTGTAAGAGTTTCATGCATTAGCTGTACCCTTGAAGTAGTACTAGTCGATGTTTCTCGCCTTGGGATAGAAGATAATTCTCATTTCCATTTATCAAACTAATTCCTTTCTGCAGATATAAAAATTACTTGTCAGTCCAAATCTCTATTTAATAGAAATTCATTTGACGGTGGATGAAACTATATTTAGACCCACTTAGGATCAGAACAGTATAGCTGTTTGAACTGAAAAAAAAAAGTACTAAACAGTGGAAAAACATGTCACTCTGCACACGTGCCATGTCATTGCCAGTTACATGGGAAGCAGATTCAAGAGAGAAATCTGTCACCCTAAAACTCAAAATTACTGCTGGGTTCGGAGGTATGAACAACGAACTTCAAGACTAATTTTTGAAATCCAATCCCTGTGTGCATGGATGGAAAGGATGCTGACCTGCACGTGACATCACAGTTGAAAAGCCAACTGCTAAGTTCTTGTCTAACAGGAACAAGATGAACCGAGGTACCAGGAGATCAGAGCAATGTACTCTAGTTTAAAAACCTGTAGGTTTTAATGTAGGAGAAACAACAAGTGTCAAAAGTGGAGGAACTTGCTTATGCAGCCGTGCCCCCATTTCTGCATCTGTCGAGAGGGGTCATCTTGATGGTTCCTTAGAAGGGTCTGGGGATTCATTCTCAAAATAAAAGTGAAGTTGTTAAGAAAAGACCAGTTTTCAAGAGGTAGAGTGG